TTGAAAAACCCTAACTTAGCTCTGGTGCCGTGTCACATATAGAAATTTTTTGATATTTGCAACCATAGTAAAACAAAAATTTATATTTTTGATATTTATTTTATATATTTAAATGCCATTTAACAAAGAAAAATCAACCAAAAAAATGAGTTCGCGTGTCACAGGTTCGCCATCACTGTATAGAGAGCAGGGTTGCAGTGTTGACAGCTCCAAGGAGCACCATTCATATTGTATTGTGGGGTGCCATTCACATAGAGTTATATAATGTAGATTTCCTGATAGGCTACCCCTCTAACTTCTGCATTATTGCTGCCTCTGATTCTAATCATCATGCACACAAATAGTCAAGTAACCCACAGAAACAGACTCAAATGGAAACAAAAGTTAAGTCCTTTTTGATCCAGTCTTTCATTGGCACACACACACCCCTAAAATAAGTTCAGCTTTGGAACTCCTTTAAGATTTTTAGCACTACTAAAATGCAGATATTCCTGGGAGGGGTAACACACATTGTTACAGTTATTTTTACTTCAGTATGAATGAGTTTCAGGCCCTTTTTGAAAAGCAGAGCAAATAGAGGAGAGGGAAAGGAAGAATAGTAGGCCCTTGGGGAAGTAGGGGACAGTGCCACTTAAATGGGTAGGTAGAATAGGAAAAAATGACATAAGAGTCTATGTAATAATTTTACTTGTGCTAACCTGGGACCTTTCCAGTATTGATGAAAGTATTTTTTAGATTTTTGGTTAAGGCCTTTCAGGTTGATTCCTTTTTAATCTCTGGGGGGAAAAAATCTGAGGGGTTTTCTTCTAAATCTGCATTAGCAGTGACTACAGGGAAACAGTGATAGGGAGGGAGGAGAAAGAGTGAAGCAATTTCCACATTATGCCCCTCAAATTAGTTTAATCTACCTTATTAATTAACTTTATGTTAATTTAAAGTGTTAGTATACTATTGATTTCAGAAATATCATGCAGTTAAAAAAATCTGAAAGTTTTACCCAGAATCCTATCTCCCAAACATATCAAACTTTTAATTATTTTTCTTTCTTCCTAGAAATTGGCTATATAAATCTATAACTCATACATGGTTGAAATTATACTGAAATTCTTACTTTGTATTTTAATTTATTATGAGTAGGCCTTTTTTTATTTGTTTTGACTTTAAAATGGGAGAATTTGTAAAGACTAATGTAAGTTACTTTTTCAAAATGAGATTTAAAAATGATTAGAAAGTTGGTTTAAGGAGCTTCATATTCTGTTTATTTTTGAGGTATAAATGAATTGCTTAAAATTTTTTCAGGCCCTTTCCCCCGTAAATAAATAGAGGGAGGGAGTGGAAGGGGAGGAGAGGAAGTAGGGGCAGGCAGGCAGGCAGACACACAACTAAATTTAATTATTTGAAGTTAACTCGTACCCATTAGTGAACTATTTTTATGGTTAAAATTAATATAGAATATCAACCCAATTGACTATTATTCATGAACTAGAGGCCGGTTGCACGAAGATTCGTGCAGTAGGCCTTCTTTCCCCTGGCTGCCAGCACCAGTTTTCCTCTGGCACCCGGGACCCAGACCTTCACTCTGGCCACCGCCTTCCATCTTCGCTCTGGACACAGTCTTCGCTGCGGCTTGAACCTTCAGTCTTTGCTCCTCGCTCCGGCGGGAGTCTTCAATCTCCGGCCAGAGCTGCTCCCGTAGCTCCTTCCGCCCCCCCACCCTCCCCCTCATAGCTTGATTGCTGCTTCGCCTGCAGACCTCGCACACGGGCTCCTGGGTCCCAGGGGGTCGCCTTGCCTGCGGCCTGGCTTTCTGGCGGCTCCTGGCGTCACACACAGGGGGGCCTGGATGGCGGCTCTGGGTGTCCCGCCCTACCTGCAGTATGCAAATTAGCAGCCACCATCGTTGGCAGTTAATTTGCGTATCACGCTGATTAGCCAATGGGAGGCATAGCGAAGGTACGGTCAGTTACCATGTTTGTCTATTATTAGATAGGATGAGGTAATTGTGTGGTGATATGGAAAGATTTTTAGGATATGTTAAGTGAAAAGAGCAAGGTACAGTACAGCATGTATAGGAAAGGGGGAAATATATATTTTTATTTGCTTGTATCTGCACAAAAATCTTGAATATACAAACAGTGATTACTTGTGGGCTTTGATGGACAGTAGATTTGGGGGGCAGGGGTGTGTGTGAGATTTCTCTAGATATACCTGGTTACATTCTTTTAGTTTTTTAAAAATATATTTTGATTGATTTCAGTGAGGGAGAGATAGAAACATCAGTGATGAGAGGGAATCATTGATTGACTGCCTCTTGCATGCCCCACATTGGGGATCAAGCCTGCAACCTGGGCATGTGCCTTGATTGGGAATTGAACCGTGCTCCTGATTCATACTACTCAACCACTGAGCCACACCAACTGGACATTCTTTTAGTTTTTGAACTGTTTGACTATATTACTTGTTCAAAACCAAATATATTTTAAAAGTATTCCTTACCTTTGGCTTTTAAAAATCTATTGTGTTTTATATCTATTTAGTATATTTATTGAGATTTCTGGATTCTAAAAAATTAGGATTATCAAACACCGTCTTTTTTTTTTTTTTTTAATCCTGACCCAAGGATATTTTTCCATTGATTTTAGAGAGAGTGGAAGAAAGATGGAAAGACAGAGAGAAACATTGATGTGAGAGAAACACATCGATTGGTTGCCTCCTGCATGAGTCCTGACTAAGGCCTAAGCTAGGGAAGAGCCTGCAACTGAGGTATATGCCCTTGACTGGAATCAAACCCAGGACCCTTCATTCCACAGGCTGTCACACTATCCACTGAGCCAAACCAGCTAGGGCAAACACTGTCATTTTGATTAGACTGCATATCTTATTCATATAGATATGCTTATCATACATAATGCTTGTAATAATACAGTGGAGATTAGTGTATGCCATCTCCCAGGGCATTGTAAGCTTTGCTAGAAGCATCTAAGCAGTTTAGGAAAGAGTATGTACATGTCAGGTTTATGTTACAAATGATGACAGTGTGCCCCCTGTAAGTGCATTGATAACTGATGAGCAGCTTCTGGGCATAGCTGAAAATAGTAAACCCTTATAATATGGAATCATTTTTCACCTTATATTTCATGTGATTTATTTTTTCTCCCAAAGTACAGTAGAGCTCTAGTAATTTTTTGTGTTAAATTTAGGGTAAAATGAATTTACTTTGAATTAGACATAACTAGACATGCAAAAAGATATTTGCCATTAGGATTTTTTAAATATCCTGAGACTATATTTTTGAAACTAAAATGTAAATTTATATCAAGCAAATGCTATAAACATGCCTTTTGAAAAGTAAGAGAAAATGGCAAAAAAAAAAACCACAACAAGACAAAGAAAAGTCTGTACTTTTTTGCATCCCCCTTAGCCCCTTTAAAATTTCATTATAGCCCTAGCTAGTTTGGCTCAGTGGGTAGAACATTGGCCTGTGGACTGAAGGGGTCCCAGGTTTGATTCTGGTCAAGGGTACATGCCTGGTTGTGGGTTCAATCCCCAGTTCGGGGGTGTGCAGGGGGCAGCCGATCAATGATTCTCTTTCATCACTGATGTTTCTCTCTCTCTCCCTCTCCCTCTCAGAAATCAATAAAAATATATTAAAACAATAAAGTAAAATTTCATTACAGGCATGGGAAGTGTTAAGGTAAATACCATATACTTCTTTAGTTTGTTATTTTTGGAATAATTACCTTCACCTATTTTTCCTCCCATTTCAAAAGGTTCTAGTGAAATTATTTATGGGGCTAAGACTAGGAACTGTTTTGAAACCTTGAATTGCCAAATCAGAATAAATTTATTAAAACAATAAAGTAAAATTTCATTACAGGCATGGGAAGTGTTAAGGTAAATACCATATACTTCTTTAGTTTGTTATTTTTGGAATAATTACCTTCACCTATTTTTCCTCCCATTTCAAAAGGTTCTAGTGAAATTATTTATGGGGCTAAGACTAGGAACTGTTTTGAAACCTTGAATTGCCAAATCAGAATAAATTTATGCTTTTGCTGTATTTATGGTAAAAGCCCTTGTATTGACTTTTCTAGTGCCTTTTAAGCATGTCACTTTGAAATATGATCAATTAATAATAATGGCCTTTACAAATAGAGCAATACACTTAGCTCTGGAACTCTCTGAGACAGGCCATGCCTCTAGCCAGTTCAGTGAAACAGCAATGAGCCTACATCTGTGCTAACTAGAGATGTGTTACCAGGGAAATGTAGACTGATTATGGTTTTAAAACAATGATGGTGGTAGGGGTTTTAGTTTACAGTTTACCTGAAATTTGAGTTACAAGTTAACTTTTTTTTGCAAAGTAGTTTTTATTTTATCTGAGACTCTTTTTGGGTACTCATACTTTGTATGGCAAACAGGAATGTTTTCTAGGTAACAAACCCCATTGTGCTGAACCTGGAGAGATCTAATATCTTCTTATAGCAACCTGTAGTCTTTATAAGGGACACTTTACTTATATTAGCTATATGCAGGCTAAGAAATAAAAGAAATAAAAATTATGAAAAAAAAGTTCTTTAAATAGATTTATCCAGCAAAGAAAAGGGCAGAAGTTGGATCTTTAGGTCAACATTTATAGGTAATATCTTTGAACTCTAGCATCTACTAAATAATGATATTTTCATGCTTGAATATTATAAAATTAGAAATTTGGTCAGCAATTGCTACTGATTTTTAGTAGACATGAATGGTTAATCTGAGCCATGAAAGTAATTTTAGTACTTTGAAAGATACTGTACTATCCTACCTTAACCAGTTCTTAGGACATATTTTTATTTCTAAATGCAGTGAATTAGTAAGACTTCGTATTTATTGTGAGGGTAAATTTGAGAATAACTTTAACATTGAAGTTACTGTTATATCTTTTTGTGCCATATACAAAAATGAAAGGCTATTTCAAAAAGGTTTTCATTTAAAAATAGCATGACTTGAACATTACAGTAATATGGACTTTAGGATTTTACTTATGTAAGGAAATTAAAATGTTAGAAAAGTCTGAAGCTCTAGAAATTATGTATTTCTTTATAATAAAACGCAGCCTACATAATGGTACCTTTATGGTCTTTTTATTTTTATATAAAGATCATTGTTGTGATATTTTATAAATTCACAAAATCAAATAAATTTGAATTATTTTCTCATATTTGTTAAAATATATCAAATTTTTTTGTAAGCAACTGCTTTTTACTAGCCAATATAATTTGCACATATATAATCAGAAAGCTTTAGTCCAAGATTTGCTTTTAGTTTAGATTTTTCTTGAAGAAAAATCCTTTGTTTAAGGCAGACCAAACTGCTGAAATGAAATAGTTCAGAGAAAATAAAATTAGCAAATAACCATTTAAAATCAAATGCTTATGGTTTACTCTAAGGTCTGGCTATAGATCCGGTTAAAGACAATGTCATGAATTTTCCATTAAGGCACAGATGGTAAGGGTGCTCTCAAATAGCACAGGCAGTCTTCATGTTTCCATAATAAAATCCTGCCAAGCAATGAAATGAATACATTGCTTATTTTGGTTTTTAGTAGGAACAAAGCTTTCTGCTTGATTTTTATGGTAAAATATTTTTATACTGCATCATAAGGACATGTATTACTGAATGAAAAAAATCATATAAACCTACCTCTTGTCTGAAGGGCTGCCGTTGAAGCGATGGTATCAATGGTACAGTCTGTTTGTAATGCAGTCTAGTGCACAGGCAAGATGGAGCTGTGCTTCTATTGGTTGAACCACAGGGCAGCTGACAGTTTCCTCTACATTCATTTGCATTAAGTCCTGCCACCCTTACGAGTAAATCGTACATAAACGTGAATAAAGCTGTCTGGGATATTAGCTGTCATCCCTTTTCTTGCCTTATTTTTTGTCCTTTAGCTAAATTCCTGCAGAGGAATTTGTAAGTTAGCAATAAATTGATGTTTCCTCATTGCTTAATATTTCAGATCCTTCAGTGAATATTTCAGTGCTGGGGCTTGAAGATAATGTTGAGAGAGGTAGTAGGACACAAACACAGCCCAGGGTTATCAGCTTTATATTTTCTCCAGGAAGTGTGCATACAATTTTATAAATTATATATATTTTTCTTTCATTATTGTGTTTTATTACTCGCATGTGGTGGTTTAATAGAGGAAAAATTCTGAGAAAAAAGAGAGAAATAAGGTTTTTGGCTTTACTAGTTGGGAGAGGATAGGTATACCACCCACATTAAAAAAGCAGTCTGTGAAATGTATTTAATTTTTTTAATCCTCAGACAAGGATATGTCTTTTTTTTTTAATTGATTTTTAGAGGGGGAGGGGGAGAGAAAGAGAGAGAGAAACATCCATCTGAGAGAGACACATCAATGGGTTGCCTCCCGTGTGTGCCCTAATCAGGGATCAAACCTGAAACCTTAGTATGTGCCCTGATCAGGAATTGAACCTTCCACCTTATGGTGTATGGGACCATGCTCCAAACAACCAAGCCATGGCCAGGACAGCCTGTGAATTAAAATGGCAAAAGAACTCTATTTGGATGTTTGAAATAGAATGTTTTTATTTATGGTGTATTATTTAAAGTTGTGGTCTAAGCATAACAGAATCAAGGTTTTTAATTATGGGAGTGGCTATTATAACAATAGTAGGCTGTAAATACTTGCTATATAGACTTATTTTAATTATAGGTAAATCACATTCTGGGGTCATAAAATACTAAAAAAAACCAAAACATTTCAGAAGTACACATTTTGTTTGTTTGTTTTACACCTGAGGATGTTTTTCCACTGATTTTTAGAGTGGGAGAGAGAGGGAAAGACTGAGGAAAATATCAATGTGAGAGAAACACTTCGATTGGTTGTCTCTTGCATGGGTGCCAACCAGATCCTGGGCTGGGAAGGAGCCTGCAACTGAGGTACGGGCCCTAGACCGGAATAGAACCTGGAACCCTTTGGTCCGAAGGCCAACACTGTATCCACTGAGCCACACTGGCTAGGGCAACATTTATAGTTTACTATAGCTAGTAATGAGTTAAATGCTAGAGACCCTCTGGTAAACAAAACTATGTGGATCATGATTGACCATTTAGTGCTTAATCTTAATATACTCATCTTTTTTTTTTTTGTCTTCCCAGTTAGTTGTTTATACAGGATAAACTTTATATTACTTTACTAAAGTTAAACAAGAAAACATTAGATGTACATTTATGAATTTCCATACTCTGACAAAATAGCCAATTTCTGATGGCATAATCTGTGTAAAAGGCTAGTTAATGATTCTTATAAAAGGCATTATCACAGGGTTTACCCCTGGATTTGAATATATATCCTGCCACTTACCATTCTGTTTTTGTTGTTGTTGTTGTTGTTTAAAAGTGGACAATAGTATCTAAATATGATTTGGGGGAGGGATTTAATGGAAAAAATCATTTAGCAGGGCTCTTGCAAATGGTAAGTGTTCAATAAAGCTTAATTACTAGTATTGTTATAAAGGCCCTGGACATCTGAAAAAGGAACCATATAGGTAGGTAGTATTTCATAATTTAAAAAAATGAGTGGGAAAGTTCACCTCTATGGCATTCTCATTCTTACTATTGATATTTTGGGAAACATTAGTAAAGTAGACTTTAATGTGTCAAGTAAGCTACCAAAATTGTAAGTTATTTTTAGAGGAAAATTGCATGCAAAGTCTCATTTTAGACTCATGAAAGCATATTCAATAAAGCCTTTTCACTAATCTCAAGGGAGTATTGCCATCTAGAAGCTGTTCTTTTGGATCTCTGACAATTGTTACATTTGACTTGTGGTTGTTCTAATGTATTCTTTTGCTTAAATTATTATTACCAAGCTGGTGCCAGACATTGACTCTCCCCCTTTTTATTTAACCTCTGCTCTTATGTATCAGCCACATGGGAACTTCATAATTTCTGACCTGATGCCATGCTAATAGAAAGTGTACTTCTGAAATTTTTTTTTTTGGTATAGATGATGAATTTTTTTTTTTACCGGTTCTTGCTTGTAACTAAAGGAATGCATTTGTGCTGCAGGGTAGCATTAGGATTTGTGCCTGTAAGAATGCAACAAAATGATAGATGTTCTGAAACAAATAATCCTCTGTACAGATTGCCCCTCGTTTCATGCTATCATTCTTTCTAAGCATCCAGGTTTATGCAGTGGCAGTACTTACAGTTCTTATTCCTAACTTATCTCTAAAGTTTACTTTAAAATAGTTATGGTATCATTCTTTTTATTCTATTAATGCCCATTTGTTTTAACTTAAAAGCAGAAATTGATGTCATAAGTGATAAATTGAACTTTTTATCCCCAGAAGTAACCACTTAGTTCTCATGGTTTTAAATTTGTTAGAAAAGCACTATGGCCAGTGTGGTTAGAATGTTAGGCTGGCACACTGAAGGGTCTTGGTTGGATTCCAGATCGAAAACATCTACCTGGCTGTGGCTGGTTCCTGAGTGGTTAGAGCGTCAATCCAGAGAACCGAAGGGTTGATTTCTTTCTGTTCAAGGGCTCACCTTGGTTTCAGGTTCAATCCCTAGTCCTTGGTCAGGGCAGGTTTGGGAGGCAACCAATTGTGTCTCTCTCACATCAATGTTTCTCTCTCTCTCTCCTGCTTCCTCTCTCCTTTCCACACTCTCTAAAAGATCAATAAAAAAAATATCTTGGGTGAAGATCAAAAAAAGAAGAAGAAGGCATGTACCTGAGTTGCAGGTTCAGATCCCCACCCTGGTTGGGGGCGTGAGGGAGACAACCAATCTATGTGTGTCTTTCACATTGATGTTTCTCTCTCTCTTCTTCCCTCCCTTCCACTCTCTAAAAACTATTGAAAAAAAAATCCTCTGGTGAGGATTAAAAAAAAATTTAAAAAGAAAAGCACTAGTGATCAGATTGAGATCTGTACTGTGTTTTGTTTAAAGAGTCTTGCTTCTATTTATGGGGGAAATCTAATCAGAATTAAGGAAAGAGTGAGATAAGGGTACTTACAAAAGAAATATATTTTAATGCTTTTGAATTATGTATATTTTGTTCCCATCCTTAGTGAGACAATGGGTAGTTAATTATACACTCAAGGATTTTAACTTTTCACCAAGTTTTATAGTATAGAATTCACTGGATAGAAAATCTCAAACAAGAAAAATCTTTATCTGAATTAAAGCCATCTTAGCTGTTTTAAAAAGTCATCTTAGCTGCTTACAAGTCATAATCACATCTAATATGAAAATCTTATTGTTTTTTGAACTTTGTTTTCAGATCATAGCAATGGATCATTTAACTTGAAAGCTCTTTCAGGAAGCTCTGGATATAAGTTTGGCGTTCTTGCTAAGATAGTGAATTATATGAAAGTAAGTACTTTTTTCAGATAACAAAAATCCTGTTTAATCTCTTGGCAGAAGGGGGTTGGGATTTTCAGAAGTAAATTTATATATATATGTGTGTGTGTGTGTGTGTGTGTGAGTAGGATATCCCTCTCGCAATCCAGGACCACTGGCTCCTAACCACTCTCCTGCCTGCCTGCCTGTCTGATTGCCCCTAACCACTCTGCCTGCCTCATTGTCCCTAACCACTTGCCTGCCTGCCTGCCTTATCGCCCCTAACCACTTGCCTGCAAATGTATATTTCATTAGCCTATGTAACTACATATATGTATATATATATACATATATATATATGTGTGTGTGTCACATTTAAAAAATTGTATATTTCAATATATGTAGTTTATTTTATGCCTATATCTCTAAACTGTAAAAATAATGTTTTAAGCCTTTTATATCTAACTAGAGGCTCGGTGCACGAAATTTGTGCACGGGGGGGGGGGGGGTCCCTCAGCCTGGCCTGCACCCTCTCACAGTCCAGAACCCCTTGGGGGATGTCTGACTGCCGGTTTAGGCCCGATCCAGTAGGATATCCCTCTCGCAATCCAGGACCACTGGCTCCTAACCACTCTCCTGCCTGCCTGCCTGTCTGATTGCCCCTAACCACTCTGCCTGCCTCATTGTCCCTAACCACTTGCCTGCCTGCCTGCCTTATCGCCCCTAACCACTTGCCTGCCTACCTCATCACCCCTCCTCTGCCTGCCTCACCCCCCATCACCCCTTTGCCTGCCTGATCACCCCTAATCACTCGCCTGCCTGCCTGATTGCCCCTAACTGCTTGCCTGCCTTCCTGATCGCCCCTAACTGCCTCTGCCTCAGCCACCGTGGCTTCATCTGGAAAGACGTCTGGAAGGTCGTTTGGCAGGTCGTTTGGCTGTCCTGTCTAATTAGCATATTATACTTTTATTATTATAGAAGATTGACATTGCAGTGAGTCACCTAAGTATATATATATATATTTTTTAAATATATTTTATTGATTTTTTACAGAGAGGAAGGGAGAGGGATAGAGAGTTAGAAACATCGATGAGAGAGAAACATCGATCAGCTGCCTCCCGCACACCCCCCACTGGGGATGTGCCCACAACCAAGGTACATGCCCTTGACCGGAATCGAACCTGGGACCCTTCAGTCCGCAGGCTGACGCTCTCTCCTCTGAGCCAAACCGGTCATGGCATAAGTATATTTAATTTACATTAATTCAAGGATAAGTCAATACCTGTTTGCAAAACCCTTACTTCCATTGATAGGAGAAGTAGAAACTACATAGTTCAGGCAGGTGGAGGTGATGACTTTTCTACATCTTGGAGGAGAAAATTAGAATTACTGAGGGTCTTAGAAAAACATTAATTCACAAAATAATTTGAATTTAATGTTTGATGGAAGATTTAGTATTTTTTTGAAATAAGTTTAATGATTATAACATTTTGGCTTACTAAAGCCTTTGAATCCTAACTTACTAAATAAAATTTAATTTATAACTAGGATGGTTACTTGATTTCAAATTTGTACCCTTCATTTAGCAAAATCTTATTCCCATTTAGTTAGTAGTTGTATCTCTTGAAAAGAGTCAAAGTTCTGTATTTATAATTATTTCAAATTTCAGCTATCATTTAAAAACTATAAATCAAGATTTTATGCTGAGACTTTCATAATTTAAGAGTCTTAGTGTCTGCCTATGTCCATTTAATTTCTAGTAGAAATCTAGTTTATAATTTCCCATTACCAAATACTATATTTTGACCCTTTGTATTCACCATTAATTTCATCTATCCATTACTCCACCTGATAAACAATTCTTAAAACCCACTATATACTGCTTGTAGCACTAAAGGTGGGAATACCCAGGAAAAAATGTATGTCCTTGTGGCTGTCCATCTTTTGAGGGAGACTGACATTTAAATGTCATGTTTTTGCTCTTTTGCTAATAGTCTTCACTTACATAGATGACCCTTACTGTAATTTGATTTATCTAGGACAGTGTTCAAATTTTTACTCCTGTTCCCTGAAACAGTTTTGAAAAGTTGTGTATCCTTTTGCACATATTTAAATTGATAACTACAATTTTTCAGCAAAAGTGGCAAAGGATAGAATTTCTCGCATATTGTAATATTTTAATGAAATAAATCTTTTTTATATTTAACAAAATCTAAATGCCATCATTAATTTAAAAATAAAAAACAAAGCCCTGATGAGTGTGGCTCAGTTGGTTGAGCATTGTTCCAGGCACCAGAGGTCACCAGTTCGATTCCCAGTCAGGATACATGCCCAGGTTTGGGGCTCAATTGCCATTAGAGGGCGTGCAGGGGCAGCTGGTTGATGCTTCTTTCTCTTTCTCTTTATCTCTCTCTCAAATCAATAAAAACATTTAAAAAATTAAAACAAAGTTCAATGGTTGGAAATTTATTTTCCCCTTGAACTTGTTGGTCCATCCTGTTACTCCCTCTATACTATATGCTAATGTTACGTATTTTTATGCTTGAAAATCTTTTATTGAATATCTATCAAACTTCTTTGCCACAATTATTTACATACATGTATATGTACACATTATATATATAAACTAGGGGCGCAGTGCACGAATTCGTGCACCTTGAACTGGGCTGCAAGGCTGCGGTGGGCACAGGGGCAGGTCTTGGCCCATCCTCTGCGCCCCCTCCTGCTGTGGCCCCTGGTCCCCTGTCTGCCAGCAGCCCCACTCCTGCCGTTGCTACTCCCATGTAATGACGGCGCCAGCCCCACCTGCACCTGCTGACCACGTGAAGCAATTGAGGCTGGCGCCAGCAGTGGTGCAAGCGGGGCCAGTGCTGTCAGTGGGTGTGAGTGGCGGCTGCTGCCCTGATTGCCCCTCAGGAGCAGGGGGAGGTGGAGAAGCCCTCAGGGGTTATCGGGGCTGGCAGCCGCCACTCGCACCTGCTGATGGTGCCAGCAGCAGGTGTGAGTGGCGGCTCTGGTGCCTGCAACGGGTGCGAGCGGGGCTGGCACCAGCAGCAGGTGCGAGCGCTGGTTGGGACCGTGGTGCGCAGGAGCAAAGAATTTTCAGTAACCACCAGAGGCTCACCCTGATGACAGCAACCGGCGCCCCGACTTGGTCTGGCGCCCCCACTTACCTGCTCCACTATCCCGCCATGGCTGATGCCTGACATGTTCCGTGCTCTGCCGCTTGCTACCGATGCCTGCCATGTTCCACGCGCACCCGTAGTGGTCAGTGCACACCATAGTGACTGGTTGTTCGGTTGTTCTGCCGTTTGGTCTATTTGCATCTTAAGGTTTTATATATATAGACTAGAGGCCCGGTGCACAAAAATTTGTGCACTCGCGGGGAGGGGGGGGTTCCTCAGCCCAGCCTGTGCCCATTTGCAGTCTAGGACCCCTTGGGGGATGTCCACCTATTGACTTAGGCCCACTCCCCGGGGAATCAGGCCTAAGCTTGCAGTCAGACATCCTTCTGGCAGCCAGGGAGCCCTTGGGGGATGTCCGACTAAAGGCTTAGGCCCCCAAGGGAGCTGTGATGAGGAAGCTGGGGTGACAGAGGAGCCACGCTGTCCTGCCCTGCCACCCTGGGTCGGGTCGCACATGGGACACCCGGGTGGGCCGGTGGATCGCTGCTGCCCCGCCCGGCCGCCCTAGGTCGGGTCACACACAGGAGGACGCCTGCCACCCTGGGTTGCAGATAGTAGGCCCGGATGGCGGTGGGGCAGGCGGGATGGTGCTGTCCCACCCTGCCTGTAGCCACCATCTTTGTCAGTGGTTAATTTGCACATCACGCTGATTAGCCAATGGGAGGTGTAGCGAAGGTACTGTCAATTACCATGTTTGTCTATTATTAGATAGGATTAGAAATGTTTTCCTTGTGACTGTAATGCTCTAGGTCAGGGGTGGGCAAACTTTTTGACTCGAGGGCCACAATGGGTTCTTAAACTGGACCGGAGGGCCGGAACAAAAGCATGGATGGAGTGTTTGTGTGAACTAATATAAATTCAAAGTGAACATCATTACATAAAAGGGTACGGTCTTTTTTTTTTTTAGTTTTATTCATTTCAAACGGGCCGGATCCGGCCCGCGGGCCGTAGTTTGCCCACGGCTGCTCTAGGTATTAAAAATACCTTGGTTTGAGGTATTATAATTATTAGCACACAGTTGATTAGAATAACATGAAAATTTTTATTAAAATTTACTTTGAAATAATTATTCAATAGAAATTCATTTTTTTAAAAATGAAATGAGCCCTGGTCAGTGTTCTCAACGGTTATAGTGTTGCCCTGCACACTGAAAGGTTGCATGTTTGATTCCGGGTCAAGGCCACTTACCTGGGTTGCAGGTTTGATCCCCATCCCCAGTCAGGGTGCTTGTGGGAGGCAATCAGTCACTGTCTCTGTCTCTTCCTCCATCCCTCCATCCCTCCCTTCCAGTTTCTCTGAAAAGCAATGGAAAAAATATCCTCAGGTGAGGATTAACAACAACAACAAATTTTTGTTTTAATAAAATGAATGGTGCTGTCTTCTTCCACCAGTGGTTCTTGTATCTGGAGAGAGAGAGATATATATAAATTAATTATTGATAGAATGAAACAGGATTTGGCAGCAATTTCTGCTCTTATTTTTAGATTTTATAGGTTTAAGTGCTGAGAAATAAATGGTTATATAAATATATATTCTAATGGAAGTTTTGTGATAGCAAAATCTTGTAAGTTATATGCCAAAACTCAGTGATTTATCATCAAGCATCCATCAGTTGACAGTTCTGTTAGGCCCTCCTTCAGTTTTGTTGAAAGCAAAATAACATGAACTGCCTAACTTGCTAAAGGATTTGTTTGTTACCTGGTCCTTAACCATTGGCTTTTTTAGTTTCTAGGAGTTTATCAAAAAGGCTTGACCAGGACTTAGCAAGTGCCTCATTATATCATTTCCCCCTCTTCCCCTGTAGGCACTCTTTAATCTGTTACACTCAGAAGTGGTTGAGAAAATAAAAATATTAATTTCAGTACACCTTTGCCAATGTAATTTTCCATAAAATGCTTTTATCTTATGTATATAAATACATTTTTGTCAAAACCCTCAGGCTGAAGGCTTAGCTTATTTGATTTATGGAAAGTATCTCTCGATTAATGAAACTAGTCTCCATTGTCAAACCAACTAGCTATATCATAAAATATCTCCTACTTTTAAGTTCAAATAAATAGGTTAATACACATTTTAAATATGTTTTAATTGATTTCAGAGAGGAAGGGAGAGGGAGAGAGAGATTAGAAACATCAATGATGAGATAGAATCATTGATCAGCTGCCTCCTGCATGCTCCCTCTTGGGGATCAAGCATACAACGCAGGGATGTGCCCAGACTGAGAATCGAACCGTGACCTCCTGGTTCATAGGTTGATACTCAACCACTGAGACACACTCGCCGGGCAATACACATTTTAAATAATATAGAAACTACTGAGAAATAAATTTACAATGCATATTAAAAGATACCTCTAAGGTAATTGAGATGAAAATTTTATATAGTCAAATAGAATTAATATATTAATTTTTATAATAACTTAAAAAACAAATAGGCTGCTTATCATGTTACATTGCATCATTATAAATTACATAATAAAATAATTATGAAGTGAGAGATATGGAAAAAGGTGTGTTACTGCTTTTCTAAATGTGTGTGCCTGCATCTTCTGATCCCTGATATTCAGCTTTTACATATAAATAAAAGTGAATGATTCAGAAATAACTCCATTAATAAATTTATTTTGGTATATTTAATGGAAAAGGATACCTATTGTTAAAAATGAATTGGGCCCTAACTGTTGTGTCTTAGTTGGTTGGGCCTCATCACATGCACCAGGAGGTCCTTGTTTCGATTTCAGTCAGGACACATGCCGGGCTTTGTGGGCTCAATCCCCAGTAGGGGGCGTGCAGGAGGCAGTCAATCTATGTTTCTCATCAATGTTTCTTTCCCTTTCCTCTCTAAAAAAAAAATCAATGAAAATATTAGAAAAAAAGAATTGGTTTTAGAGCTAGCTATGACTTTTGTAATAGGAGGTAGGAATATAAAACTGGTTAAAAGATGTAATGAGAATTACATCTAATTAGAATAAAAATTTCATGATAGCATTTGACAAAATAGGTTTTAAATTTTCACAATGAATAATTCACACTTAATCTAAAATAATTTGTATGCAGTTTTTGTCTGTGGGTTTTATGGAGATAATTTGAACAATTTGGTAGTCCTGGAAAATATTTGTTATATGTAAAAGAATCAGCCTCCTTACTTGATACTGTTTCAGCTCTTTAAATGTGCTTTTTCTTCAAGCTAATAAATATTCAAGGAGTAAATTTTGGGAATTGCTGAGGAAAATGACTTCTATTTAAATACTTGAAACAATCAAGTTTATTAGATGTTTCTTATCAGTGGTCCCTTACTTTGCTCTTATTAGATTCTCCCAAAGAGTGATGCATTTTTGGACAGTACAGCATGGAGGTGGAGTGTGTGGAGATAGAAGAGACAAAGTTCTTTAAATGAAACTGCTCTCAATTGCCCATGAACTATACTGTATCAGAATTTAGAAAGCCCTGTTAGGGGCCAGAATATCCCATTTTGAACTGTTGGAAAAATATGTAAGACTGAAAAGGACAAGAAGCTATATAGTGGGTAGTCTGTGACACCTCATGATGAATGTGTTCATCATGTTAGTATCATGCAGAATAGTTTCACTGACCTAAAAATCCTCTGTGCTCTGCTTGTCATCCCTCCTGCTCTTTTAACCCTTAGCAGCCTCTGAATTGTTTACTGCCCCCATAGTTTTGCCTTTTCCAGAATGTCATATAGTTGGTATGTAGCCTTATCAGATTGGCTTCTTTCACTTATTAATAGGCATTTAAGGTTCCTTCATGTCTTTTCGTGACTTGATAGTTCATTTCTTTTTGTGCTGAATAATATTTCACTGTCTGGATGTACCACAGTTTATCAATTCACCTACTGAAGGACATTTTGGTTGTTCCCAGGTTTTGACAATTGTGAATAAAACTGCTACAAACATCTATGTGCAGGTCTTTGTGTAAACATAAGTTTTTATCTTCTCTGAGTAAACTCTAAGGAACATAATTGCTAGATCATATGATAATAAAGAGTATGTTTAATTTCAAAAGAAACTGCCAAACTGTGTTTCAGAGCAGCTGTACCATTTTGCATTTCCACCAGCAGTGAATGAAAGTTTCTGTTCCTTCACATACTCACCGACATTTGGTGTCTGCATATGTTTTTTAATAATTTGTCCTGTACAACTTTTGAAATTTGTGCATAGAAAACATCTGCATTTTCTTTAACATCTGTCTAGTAGCATAGATGTGCTAGTTTATTTAATCGGCCACATGGGTTGTTTCTAATATTTTCCTTATACAAATGATGCTGCTGCGTGCGACCTTGTCACTTTTCTGTGTAAGGCAGATTCCTAGAAATGGGATTGCTGGGTTATAGGGTTTAAATATATTTATGTTATAAAATTGCCCTCCCTAGGAGTTGTATGAATTAGTATTTTTTTGCCCTGGCCAGGTAGCTCAGTTGGTTTAGAGCTACATCCCGATGATATACCAAAATTGCAGGTTCAGTCCCCAGGCAGGGCACATACTAGAATCAACCAAAAATGCATAAATAAGTGAAGCAACAAATTGATGTTTTTTCTCTCTTTAAAAAACAAAACAAAACAGTATTAAAAATGTTTTGTGAGTTTATTTGAGTCAAACTGCAGACATATGCTGGGGAGCAAGATTTCAAATGTTCTTCAATTAGTATTCATAACAGTAGTGTGTGAAGGGTCTATTTTCTTACAGCCTTATCATCAGTTATGGATTTTTGCCAACATAATAGGTAAAAAAATCTCTTGGTATAGGTTGAGTATCTTTTCGTATTTAAGGTCATTGCGTTTCTTTTTCTGTGATTTATGTGTTTCCTGTCTTTCGGTTATTTTCCTGTTAGATTTTTGGAACCCTTAAAATATTAGGAAGATTAGCTTCTGGTAATGTTGCAAATATTTTCTCTCAGTTTAACATTTGATTTTATAGAACTCTGAGTTTGAACCTGGTTCTGTCTGATTTTATAGTCCATTTTTTTCATCACTATAATTGTCCTGTTTCAAATAATCCATGCTCTACATTGCTGAAATGATTTACTTGTAACTATTATTTAATGCATCTAGCATTGAAGAACTGCCTTCCAATATTATCTCCCCCCAAATAGACGCGTCATCAGCGAGGAGATACACATCCTCTAACTTTAGAAGAAATTTTGGATGAAACACAACATTTAGATATTGGACTCAAGCAGAAACAATGGCTAATGTCTGAGGTAAGAATAGGCTTAAAATATTGTAAAAAATTTAGTTGATTACCATGAAATATATGCTGTAACTAGGGTTTTTAATATACTGAAACTGGTAATTGTTTTTCCTTTTTCATAAAAGAATTGGTATAGAGTGTTTTGTAAACATAACATCTTTTAAGATTATTTGATTTTCATATAATCTTACGTATCTATTTAAAAATGTCAAAGACTTTAGCATAAAAGTTCTAAAAAGTTAGCCATTGTATTCCATTTATTTTTGTTTTTTAATTAAAAAATATTTTTATTCAGAGAGGAAGGGAGGAGAGAGAGAGAGAAATATCAATGATGAGAGAGAATCATTGATCAGCTGCATTCTGCATGCCCCCTACTGGGGACTGATTGTGCAACCTGGGCATGTGCCCTAACTGAGTATCAAAGCGTGACCACCTGATTCACAGGTTGACGCTCAATCACTGAGCCATTCTGGTCCAGCAAGTTTTTTGTGTTGTTGTTTGTTTGTTTTTTTAATACGTTTTTATTGATTTTTTTAGAGAGAGGGAGGAGAGGGATAGAAACGTTAAAGATGAGAGAGAATCATTGATCTTATGCCTACTGAACGACCCTACTGGGGATTGAGCCCACAACCTGGGCGTGTGCCCTGACTGACCGGGAATGGAACCAGGGACCTCTTGGTTCGTGGACCGATGCCTAACCATTTGGCAACACTGGCCAGGCTCCATTTAGTTTTTACAAAATTGTTGCTTATTTTGAATTGCTGAATTTATAATATATGTGTTGGCAAATTGTATTGTTTTTACAAATGTTTTGGGACATTGTAAGCATGAAGTATTGTAGGAATAGCAAGATATTTTGTTCAATGAGATATTTGTTATAGTATTACTACTAGTATGATTTGATAGTTATGTTACTACCTTTACTAGGTAACTTGGAAGAATAATCATGAACATTGTGTATGTAAACACAGCATTGGAAGAAAAGGAACCCCAAACCAATCACTGACCATACTAATTTGGAAATGGATAGCAATTTAAAAATTCAGATATTTGCTTCTTTTCTGTTTAATTATGAAAATGACAATTAAGAAGACTGTTTTCTAGGACCAGTGCTATATTTTAAAGACCAAATGTAAAATTCTTAAAATATAATTCAATTAATTTATTTTACCAAGCAAAATGTTGTTCTTGATTTTCATAATATAAATGAACCAGTTAATCACTATCATTGTATTAATGATATACAAATAGGGGTAATCCATATTTAAATTTTGTTGCTATACCTCATCTTGGAATTTCACAGACTACAGATATTAAAGATTACATTTATTACTATTTTATTTTCCCTCCTTCTTTGTTTCTTTTTGTTCTCCTTTCAGGGTCAGGCTGGCAACTGCAAAAGAAAATAGGGTTGCTCTTTTTTTTTTTTTAATATATTTTATTGATTTTTTTACAGAGAGGAAGGGAGAGGGATAGAGAGTTAGAAACATCGATGAGAGAGAAACATTGATCAGCTGCCTCCTGCACACTCCCTACTGGGGATGTGCCCGCAACCAAGGTACATGCCCTTGACCGGACTCGAAACTGGGACCCTTGAGTCCGCAGGCTGACGCTCTATCCACTGAGCCAAACCGGTTAGGGCAGGGTTGCTCTTTCTTGAAGAGTTTTCTTCTGATATTTGCTGTACATCAGAACTGACTAGGAACATAATCATATTCATTAATTCCTATATTCCTACTCAGTTTCATTCTTATATTCACTAGCTTGGTCCTTTTCATTTCGTTCCACAGTTGCTAGTGCCATTTGATACCAAGTGGGGCAGACTGACTGTTGATATCTTTATCCCAGGGTAGTGTTTATCACATAATGGCAATATGCAATAAACTAAACTTTGAGGATAGGGGGGTAGGCAATACCCAGTTCACTTTGTCTATTAATGTTAATAGCTGTTTTATTGATTCTTACCTCTTTGGTTTTCCAAAAGAATATGGGTATAGCTTTCTTCAAAGTAGTTGTGATAAAATGGTTTATTTCTCATCCAAATAATTTATATAATTAATAAAGTGTCTTTTATAAAAAGTGGTGAGCACCATGCTGATCTCTATAGTTTATTATTTTGGATCCTGGATGTCCAGTATTTTAGATCCAGTTGATATTCATAAGATGCTTTTAATTTGCCATTAATTGGGTATTATATTTTTAAAATAATTAGTAGAATTTAAGAAAGTATATATGAGCTTTTCTTTTGTTAATATATTCAAATTGTGTCACTGTTACAGGCATTAGTCAATAATCCCAAAATTGAAGTAATAGATGGGAAGTATGCCTTCAAGCCCAAGTACAACTTAAAAGATAAGAAGGCTCTGCTTAGGCTCTTAGATAAGCATGACCAGCGAGGCTTAGGAGGAATTCTTCTAGAAGACATAGAGGAAGGACTGCCCAATTCCCAGAAAGCTGTCAAGGTAACTTCTCTTTTCTTTCTATGCCTTAATATGATTTGAATTAATAATGTCATTTTGGTTTTAAAAAATAGCAAGAATTTTTTTTTTGCCAAAGTAAAAATACATTTATTAAGTTGATATTTATTATACCCCACACTATAGGCATTTAAGATATTAATGGTTCATTTGGGGTTTAGAATTGTTTATTTAGCAGATAAGGAAACAGCTTTAATATTTCCATCTGTGAGATGAGTTGTATGATGATTTTTTTGGCATAACACGCATTTTGAATTTTATTGCACTTTTTCCACGACCATTGAATCCTGCTGGGCTCTGTGTCCAGGGCTCTGTGTCCAGGGCTCTGTGTCCAGGGCTCTGTGTCCAGAGCTCTGTGGCCTGGAAGGGCGGAGCTATGCAGTGAGCAGTTCACATGGAGGGACTGCCCGAGGAGAGCAGCGACCAATGACCTAGTCGCAATGGTTGCAAAAACCCCTTCAGGACTGAACCCTATCCGTGGTTGCTGTCAGCCATCGGTCCTTGACTGTCCCTGGGTCACAGGCAGGAAGCATGGCTGGCGGCTGCAGCTCATGTCCACAATCTGAAGGTGAAACAGTGGATCCTACAAGCCTAGCAGCACAATGTCAGGTCTTTGAACCCCTTCTCCGCACCGCCTCAATCAGGAAGGATGCTTCCCTCAATCAGGGAGACTCGAGAAGGGAGCACTTTTTGTCAGAAGCAGGCGAGTACCACTGTCGGAGTCTGGGAACGTCTCTGGAGGCTGCTGCAGGGATTCCCAGAGAACCTGCTAGAAAACGCTAGAGATCGATGCAAGGGCCAGCCCAGATCGGGGTCCCCTGGATGAGCCCACTGGTGGTATGATGATTAAATAAAAACACGAACACCTAATATGTTACATAGTAGGTAACCTTGAGAAAAATGAAAATAAGAACACAACAACACAAAATCTATGGAACACACCAAAAGCAGTCCTAAGAGGGAAATTCACAGCAATATAGACCAACCTCTAGAAGCAAGAAAAATTTCAAATATGCCATCTAAACTTACACCTAAAGGAGCTAGAGAAAGAACAATAAACAGAGCCCTAAGTAAGTAGACAAAAGGATATATAATGAAGATCAGAGTGGAAATAAATGAAATAGAGTCTTGAAAAATACAATGAAATCAATAAAACCAAGATCTGGTTCTTTGAAAAGATAAACAAGATGGACAAACCTATAACCAGACTCATGAAGGAAAAAAGATAGAGGCAGGTTTTTTTCCTTTCTTTTTTCTTTTTAAATTTATTTTAAAAAGGATGGGGGCGAGAGAAAAAAAAAACATTGATGTGATAGAAACATCGATCAGTTGCCTTTCATACACACCCCGACGGGGGATCCAACCTGCAACCTAGGTATGTGCCCTCGATCAAGTATCAAACCTATAACTTGTTGGTGTATGGGACGATGCTCCAACCACCTAAGCCATGCAGCCATGGCAAAAGATGCAAATCATGTGTTCATTAACTTACTGGGGGAATTCTCTCACAATGTACATCAAACCATTAGGTTGTACACTTTATTTTTATTTATTTATGCAAGAATTTTTAAATTTTTATTTTTATCTTCGCCTGAGAATATCAGAGAGAGAGAGAAAGAGAGAGAGAGAGAGAGAGAGAGAAGCATTGATGTGAGAGAGAGACATTGATCTGTTGCCTCCCATATGAATCCTGACCAGGCGTTGGACTACAATCATTTGGTGTACAGGACAACACTCCAACCAACTGAGCCACCTGACTGGGGCTAAATTTTTATTTTTAAAGCTTCCATCATATATACTTGGAGTTGTGGTAGGACAGTTGAAAATTTGAAATTTGTATTTGTATTTGTGCTACAGAGCACAGCCATTTTTGTGTACCTGTGACAGCTCCCTTTTGTGGTGGTGGTGTGTGTGATTTTTTTTTTTTTAATATATTTTTATTGATTTCAGAGAGGAAGGGAGAGGGAGAGAGAGAAACATCAATGATGAGAGAGAATCATTGATTGGCTGTCTCCTGCACGCCTCACACTGGGGATCGAGTCCGCAACCCAGGCATGTGCCCTTGGCTGGAATCGAACCCGAGACCTTTCAGTCCGCAGGCCGATGCTCTACTCACTGAGCCAAACCGGCTAGGGCTGTGTGTGTGATTTTTTGACTCTTCAGAATGTTTCTGGAAAGTTTTGCCCTGGCTGGGTGGTTCAGTTGGTTACAACATTGTCCCATACACCAAAAGGTGGCAGGTTCCATTCTAGGTCAGGCGCAATACGGGAGGCAACTGATGTATGTTTCTCTTGCATTGATGTCTCTGTCTCAGAAATCAATAAAAACATATGCTTGGGTGAGAATTTAAAAGAAAGTCATACAGGTTACATTTCCGGTTTAAATTTGGAACTCACATGGAAAGGCTGCTAGTCTCTATTCTTCACAGTTACTGATGATCGATGCTAACCTGTAACCAGGTTCATTATTTTTGTTACCTCTTGGAAAAATATTACTCCTTTCTCTCCTCTACCTCTTGGTAATTCAGTTACTTGTTATCCCACAAGTTTCTGAGGCTCTGTTTATATATTTTTTTTCAACCTGTTTTTTGTTTGTTCTATTGATCTATTGTTAAGTCCACTAACTTTTCTTTACTTCCAATTTGTTAAGCCCAATTTGTGAATTTTTTATTTTAGATAATGTATTTTTCATTTCTACACTCTTCATTCTTTATGGTTTCTTTTTTGAAATTTCATTCTTTATAAGCAGATTTCCCATTACCCTTTTCAGTATAATTTCTTATATAGTTGCTTTAAAATCCTCTTCAAATTTCATCTTGGAGCTGGTCTGCACTGACTCTTTGTCTCTTGAATTTCCTGTTTCTTCATATATCTAATAAATTTCTGTTAGATAATGTTTTGTTTACTGAACATTGTGAGCCATTGGTATAAAGACCCAGGATTCTGTTTTACTCCTCCAAAGAATGTTTTTATTTGTTTTGTTTTTAAGTGGTCAGGTATCTTGGCTAGACTGCACTCTAAACTTTGTCTTTTCTACAGTGGGTGGCATATGATCTGTTTTGTTCTTTTAGCACTTTTACTTTTTTGAAAAAATTTCCAGAGTTTATAGTAAACTCTATAAACTGGATTGGTCCCTTAGGAGCTACTTGACCATTGCTAGAAGCCCAACCCTTTTAAGATTTTTAACTTAAAAAGTTTACTGGTGCCGAAACCGGTTTGGCTCAGTGGATGGAGCCGGCCTGCGGACTATAGGGTCCTGGGTTCGATTCCAGTCAAGGGCATGTACCTTGGTTGCAGGCACATCCCCAGTGGGGGTTGTTCAGGAGGCGGCTGATCGATGTTTCTCTCTCATCGATGTTTCTAACTCTCTATCTCTCTCCCTTCCTCTCTGTAAAAAATCAATAAAATATATTTTAAAAAAAAAGTTTACTGGTAAGCTTAACCTGCAGAAATGCTGCAAATAAAATGTGACCAAAGGGTATAAATTATGTACTTTATAGATGTTAAAAACATAGAACTACTGAATTCTAGCTTAACGGGTGAGAGTGCTAGGTATGTTTCCTGCTGTTTGTTTTTTCCTCCCATTTTTCATAGGGACCAGCATTATTACTATGCAGTAGGCTTTTCATTACATTCTTAAGTAGAACAGTGGCATCAACTGGTAATTGCTTATTCTATTTTAAACAATTTTGTGTTGTAAAGTTACTTTGACACCTTATCTTTAGTGGCTGTGTTCCCTAAGGATTAGAGCTTAAGGGGTCATGAAAAGCACAGCCTATTTTATTTTTAGGAGGGATTATTTCTAAATTGTTTGAACCCAGAATGTTTATTCTGTTCTTACTACCTGGGTGCAATGGAGTCTGCTTTATTATTTACAAAAATATTTTAAGCCATGTTATGAATAATTTACATAAAAATAAAGGGATGGTGAAAAACAGATTTATTCAACATTTTAATAAGGATTTAGCATAACAAGCCTCTGTACCAAGTATATATTGGCAAACATCAGAAAGATGCAAGAATATTATTATATGTCTTTTTAGCAAAGTGAGATGGCAAAGATTCTTACCACACAGTATTGTATGATTAAGTCCTTCCTGTTGAATAACTAACTGGATAAAAATACTTTATTTCCTTTATGTCTTTAGAAATATGTTGTTCACATTGATTTGTAAGCTTGAGATTATTCATCTGTGGTGGTGTCATCTAAGCACTTCCAGTTTGAGACCATTTCTGTGATGCATTTTACTGTCATTAGAGTCTAAAGCAGCGGTCGCCAACCTTTCAGAACTCATGGACCACTGGTTGGCAACCACTGGTCTAAAGTGCTGCTCTCAGGCTTTTTCATTCTTTTTCTCACTCATTAATAATAGTGAAACATCTCTCAGTTTTCTTGTCATTACTCTGAGTAGTAGAAAATAAACTCTGAATTGTCAGTTGCGCTCAAGAAAGGTGAAAGACAACGAAGTCTCCTTAGTCTTTTATATTTTCTTGTTGGATGATGCAGTAATTTGGGCAATAAGAAAACTGAAATGTGGCTATTTCACTATAGCATTACAATTCTAGGTGATTTGATCATTCTTCCATTTTCTTATTTTAGCTTTTAAAACATACTTGGAAATAATTGAGGTTGTAATGATGAGTAAGTAGCAAAATATTTTAAGGTAGAAGGAAAAGTAAAAACACTAAAATAACCTACCATTTTTCTTAGATTAATAAAAAGGTCCCGTGGACCAAATTGTAATTGCCACACATACTGAATTTTATTCGGTTTCTTTTAAAATAGGTATTTTTTTCTGTACTTTGGAAGACCTCTAAGAATAAAGGTCTTGAAATAGCAACCCTTAATTATAGTCAGAACTGCTCAAGAAACTCAAGAACTGAAATTGATTTACTGAGGGTTAAAAGAAATGGGAGTCCTTTGTTGTAAAAAAAAAAAAAAAAAAAGGAAGAAAGAAAAATAATAGGGTGTTGGTAAAGTAATTTGGAGTTAACTGAAAAATTTTTCTTTATCTTTAAGGCTTTAGGGGACCAGATATTATTTGTAAATCGTCCTGATAAGAAGAAAATACTTTTCTTCAATGATAAAAGCTGTCAGTTTTCTGTGGACGAAGGTAAGCCTTTCTGTAATAATACTTTCTTTAGTTTGCAAGTATGTTACAAATTTAAGGTGACAAAATTTATAATATAATACAATTATAACTCAAATTTTATACTACTGCTTTTATTTATTTATTTTTTTTAGCATTGTCATCTCTTAGAACAGAGCTAATAACTCCTAACATTGATTCTCAGAACACAGTTTGTAATTTGAAAGAGTTTAGGTTAATTGTAGCACTTGCAATCATAGTATAGCAGCTTGTCTATATAGCATGGTGGCTATATTTTATGATTTCTTATGCTTATAGTTCAGTTGTACCAAAAAAGGAGTTTATTTCTTGATGATTTTATTTTTATAAATATTACTTCATATCTTGATATGAAAACTTTATGCAGGTTGGGAAAAAGTTGTGGGTGACTGATACTCTCTTAAGTAACTTGCTCTTTTGATGATCACATTAGATAAGGAGGGAGATTACTTTTTTCTTTTCTTTTTGATGGGAACTAGAGGTTTGTTTTTCTGAAGCATTGGGATGAACAGATAATTCTGTCCATGCTGTAGTGCAAACACACTTAGGATGGGATCAGATCAGTGGGATTTTTGCCTTCACTGACAAATACATCAGTATTATTTTTAAAAACCTTGTAAAATCTTAAGCAACTTTTAGAAAGCATACTATTTTATATAAAATTATAGCTTTGTGAAAGTATCACAATATTCAGGACTCTGAAAATTTTTAAGTTTCTTCATTTTATAGTAATTTTTCTTTGTTAAATTATTTAGAATAAATTATAGTTTTAACATAAATGAAAAAATAGATAAAACAAAAGTTACATGAAATATCACTACCCAGTGTATCATTATTAAGATTTTTCACATCCCCTAAGGGGGACCAATCTCGCAACCCAGGCATGTGCCCTTGACTGGAATCGAACCTGGGACCCTTCAGTCCTCAGGCTGAGGCTCTATCTACTGAGCCAAACCGGCCAGGGCTTAATTTATTCTTAATGATATATACATGTGATAAAGACACTAAACAAAAATAGCAAGTGATTGAGAAGGTATTCTAGTTTTCCATTGCTGTGTAACAATTCACCCCAAATGTAGTGGGTTAAAACAACAACTTATTAATAATTATCTTCATTCCATGTTTGGGCTCAACTGAGAGCAATTCTTACTTGGCATCTCTAAATATTTGTGTTTGCAGTCAAATGGCAGCTGGTGCTGAAGGCTCAGCTGTACACGATGTCTGATGGCTGGCAGTTGACTGCTTGGCTGAGAGCTTGGTTGGGCTTTTCCATTTGACTCAGGCTTCTCACAGAAGGTTGGCTGGTTTCTGAGAGGGAGTGTCCCTAGAGTGAGCATTCTTAGAGACTAGATTACTGTTTATTATATAAGGATACAACTCAGGAACAGCCAGATGGGAGGGATGCATTGGGAATAATACGTGGGAAGGGGCAAGGATCTTTCATGGTCTCTTGGAGCAGCGGTCGCCAACCTTTCGGACCTCACGAACCACCAGTGGTCCACGGACCACCCATTGACGACTGCTGTCTTGGAGCACGCCATTTTCCCTCATCTTTATTTGTTCACCAGCAGCTCCAACATGTAGCTATTGATTTCCTATTATATGCCTCATTTATCTTGCTAAATGTAGAGGATTTTGGATGTTAGAAACATCCAGACCTGTAGAGACTTTTTATAAGAATTTATTTGAGCCAAAGAGAAGATAACACCTGGAAGTAAGATCTCAATAGACTGAGAGAAAATTCTTCTAAGAAATGACAGTTTGTAGCAGCTTTTATGCATTGGAACTAAGGAAGGTTATACATGAAGGAAGGAGAAAGCAAGGTGGGGGTTGGATTACAGGATAGTTAACAAGATGGTGTGTTTTCATCAGGGTGGTCACACTTAGAAGGAAGGGTCTGATAAGAGGCCTTTCAAAGGTAGGTATGTTAGCCTGGATGCACAGGAACATGGACAGGGCCTGCTTAAGACAAAAGATAAAACTTTTACTGAAGAAGTTATATGATTGCCCACCATGACCTGCCCAGTTAGGAATTTATGATCAATTACCCTGTGAAGTTACTTTTTATAAAACTGTTTTTGTGGTGTTTTTTTGGTCCACAATGTGCTGGCTACAAATAGACTATACAGTAGTGATGCATTGGCAACTTATCCTATATAATAAAGGCCTAAAATGCAAATCGACCGAAGGGCAGAATGACAGTTTACTATGACGCACACTGACCACATGGGGGCAGATGCTCAACGCAGGAGCTGCCCCCTGGTGGTCAGTGCGCTCTCTGCTCCAGCTAGAAGCCGGGCTCACGGCAGCATTAAGGACCAGTGAGCAGGTGGGCAGTAAGGAGTGAGGTCCCGGACTGTGAGAGGGTGCAGGCCAGGCTGAGGGACCACCCCTCCCCCCACCGTGCACGAATTTCGTGCACCGGACCTCTAGTATGTCATAATTGGTATTTTCCTTAAGTGATAAAAAATTCTTTTTAAAGATCTGAGAAATACAAAGTGCAGCTTTGCTTTACAAAGCTTAATTATAATATACTAGAGGCCCGGTGCACAAAAATTTGTGCGCTCGGGAGTAGGGTCCCTCAGCCCGGCCTGTGCCCTCTCGCAGTCTGGGACCCCTCAGGGGATGTCCACCTGCTGGCTTAGGCCCGCTCCCCGGGGGGATTGGGCCTAAGATGGCAATCAGACATCCCTCTTGCAGCCCGGCAGCCCTCAGGGGATGTCCACTTGCCAGCGGGGAGCAGGCCTAAACTGCAGTCGGACATCCTTAGCACTGCTGAGGAGGCAGGAGAGGCTCCCACCACCACTGCTGTACTGGCAGCCATCAGCCTGGCTTGTGGCTGAGCAGAGCTCCTCCCATGTGAGAGCGCCCTGACCACCAGAGGGCAGCTCCTGCATTGAGCATCTGCCCCTGGTGGTCAGTGTGTGTCATAGTGACCAGTCATTCCCAGTCCTTCTGCTGTTAGGGTCAGTTTGCATATTACCCTTTTACTATATAGGATAGAGGCCTGGTGCA